GTGTTAGGCTTCTTTAGGGCTTAGAGCATGTTGTTTCTTTCTTTGGATGTGTTTTATTCTCAAACAATGCAGTAATCATATACATTTTTGAGATATAAGTACATGTGCACAATGTATAATGACCAGGTTAGGTAAATATCCTGTTTCAACCTTAGATAGTTCTCATTTCCTCATACCAGGAACATTCATATTCTTCTCCACTAGCTATTTTGAAGTGTCCAGTTAACTGTTGTCAAACACAGTTATTTTACTGTGTTATAGAGCTTGTATCTCACAGCACCTGTATCCACCAATCATTTCTCCATCCCAAGTACCTTTCTCTGTTCCCTACCATGAAAGTAACTGTTTAGCCTCAGTATGTTTAAGAATATGTGGTCTTTCTGTGTGGTCTAGGGATGTAGTTTGGTGGTTGAGTACTTGCCTAACCTTGGGATTGCTTCCTGGTGCCACACAAAGACAAAACAACACTTTTGTGCCTGCCTTATGTCAAAAGGCTGGAACAGTGTGCTTCAGGCCCAGGACAAACAGCTCCAGGTTCTCCCAGCATTCCTCAGTCCCTATCTGCTGCTGGGGATGGCTGGCAAACCCCACCCTCTACCCTGAGCTTTCCAGGGCAGAGGCTTCCCCTCCTCTTACCATATAATCGGGACATTTTGGGTGTTCTTGCTTCTCTCTCTCTCTCTCTCACCTACCTCCCCCTGAGGAGTGGGGGATGGGGGGGGCAAGCTTACCAAGCCACAGAGGAAGAAGTGAAGCGAGTCCTGATGAGACCAGCTAGGCTAAGATCAGATGGAAGCAGCCAAGAGCCGCTTCCAATGAGCCTACATTTATAGACTTTAACTTGCCTTGCATGAGAAGCAGTCCAACGTTCTCATTCCCACCTCGCCGCCACTCCCTAGCTCCTCATTTTTTTAATTAAACAAAAATGGAGGAATGTTATATTTTGCAGGCAATTCAACTGCCCTGTCCTTAGGGGCCTTTAGGGTCATAACAACGTCCTATGTCATTACCTGTGTCCTATGTCATCACCTGGGCCAGGTGCTTCAGATATAACCAGTTTGCCACTCCCATCCACATACACTCTCTCTCTTCTCTTGTACTCTTTCTGCCTCAGTTTCTCTCCTGGGGCATTCTCTCTCTCTCTCCTCCTCTATCAATACATCTCTTTTCTATCAGATCTGTTGTATGTGGCATTTTTAAATATATCCTAACAATGAGCACATCCCTCTTCCCAAGCAAAGATGTTCATGGGCCAGGTGAGAAAACCACAACTCCATAGGTGGGGAAGAAAGCAAAACAGTATCCTGACTCAGAGAGAAACCAAAAGATGAGAGGCAAGTTGCCCTTGCCCTGTGTTCCTGTGCACTCCTTTCCATTCTTGCTCACAACACTCTCTCCTCCTTACCACATCATTCCAAGTATTAATATCCTCTCAGCTGACTAGCAAGAACGCCCAGCAAAGGTGTTAGCTAACAAACAGCTTAACAAACCACACTTTCTGGTGCTTGTAGATGAGTAGGATAGTCTTAAACCTAAATAAAACCTTCAAGATCAAAGAGAATGAATAAATCCTAATAACACTGTGAACAAAAAAGTTCTAAAAAGAAGATGCATCTGTCTATGAGCAAAAATTCCCAGAAGGAATCTGTGTCCACAGGAACTGATTGGCTGATTATAATTTCAGTGCCGTAGAGAGAGTGGAATGTCACAGGTCAAGAGGCTAATTACCTTCTCTTGGGCTAAGTTTTGGCCCTCCAGAATATCGATGTCTTGCTTCCCACAACCACCCCCACACAAACATCATAACCAACATCTTGTGACAAAAGATAAAAACCTTTCAGAATCTACTGACTCAGCAGAAAATTTGCTTGTATCAATCCAAAAGCTAAAAATATAATCAGATAGCATTTTGGGCCTATAAGAAAGCTTCACCCATCTCAATGTAACTTCATCTCTGATAGACCCACCCATGTATTTTGAACTTGTCTTGATTTATGACTTGTAAAAACTTTGTGAAACTGCTTGCATGTTGGAGCATGTAATTTTGGGTAACCTAAATAAATCTATGTTCCCAGTCCAAGGCCACTCAGAACAAATCACAAATAAGCTATCTCTTACTCCCTTTAAGATGAGAGCTGTGGGTTTTGTGTCAACAATACCATGACATGAAAAGACTTCTGGGGTAACATATTAGAACCCTACTTGAAAAATTAACCGCTGGAGCTGGCTCTCCCATCCTAAAAGTAACATTGGGTATTTATTGGCCATATTGTACTAGTGCCAATGCTAAGTGTTTATCTATATAATCAGATTTAGTTTCAATAAATTTTTGAAAAGGAGATAGCAGCTAGTCTCTCAATAGAGGAAACAAACATCAGACAAGGTCAAATTGTCAATTAGACAATAAAAGAGAAAATAGAGGCTGTGCTCATTTCACTAAGTTCCACAGCCTGCCCCACTCACTCACCACCATTTTTGAAGACAGGTACATCATAACCACAGTCCTTCATCCCTTTATACCTCTCTTAAGATGTGACATCCAATTTAACACTTTTGGTTTCAGTAACAAAATGCCTGATAAAAGCCACTTAAGAAAGGAAGGGTGAGTTTGGCTAGTGTCTTAAATAGGGAAGCAGATGTCAGTGTCCATCATGGCGGAAGGCATGCAGCAGGAGCTTAAGGCAGTCTCCCTGCATTCTCAGTCAGAAAGCAAGGAGGAATAAATACTGTGCAGTCTTTTTTTCTCCTTTCCATGTAGTTCAGGACCCCAACTCATAGAATGGTGTCACCAAGAGCTAGAGTGGGTCTTCCCACCTCAGTTAACCCACCTAGAGACTCTTTCACAGATACGTCAGATATCTGTCTCCTAGGAGAATCTCCAGCCTATCAGGTGACAGCAAATATTAACTATCCCACCAGGGAGTACTATAGCAGGTGCTGGGTAGAGATGTCCCCTGGTCATACTGAAACACAGATACCCTGTCCTGGGTAGGTATCAACCATCACAAATGCCTCCACACAGGACAATTCCAGGTCAGTAAGAACTCTGGATTCCAGTCTCTGAAGCACCAGTTCCATTTACAATACCAGGAAGGTGGCTGGTGCATAGTTTGGATTTTAAATGCCATCAGGGCAACACTTTTATGGTTTGAGAGAAAAGATGCTTTAGCTCCTACTGCTCTTAACACATGATGAGAGATTATGACAAACAGACACAGCTTAGGAACAGACAAAGATAAAAGCAGCTTCTCTTGTATGAGAGTCAGTATTAAAATTTTTCTGAGACTAGATTCAATAGAGCTAATATAAATGGGCCAGAATAATTACGGTTCTGAAAGCTCATCTGTTTCGTTAGACTATTATCCAAAGGGGACTTGCTAAGATGCAGTCCTTAAGTAAATTCACCAGCTTTGTTAATTGTGCATCTGCTTTAGCGCTCAACAGGGATCACAGGACCCTCCTGAGCTGTAAGCTGAGAAGCAGACACATTTCTGATCCCTCAAGACTCTTGGGTGCCTTTCTGGGCAATTTTTATTACTAAGCTATGCCACAGAATTATGCTGTAACTAGTCTTATCCCCAGGAATCCAGGGATTCCATTCTCAATGTCCTTGAAAAGCCAAGAAAGAAAGAGAGAGAGAGAAAGAAGAAGAAGAAGAAGAAGAAGAAGAAGAAGAAGAAGAAGAAGAAGAAGGAAAGAAAGAACGAACTTTGAAAAGAAAGGAAAAGAAAAAAGAAAAAGAAAAAATAAAGAAAAGGAAAAGAAAAAAAGGTGCATGGAGAGGGGGTTGCAGAACAGGGCCAACAGGATCTTAGTCAGAGAACATCAAAAGCTCAAAAGGATTCGTGACTCCTAACTGTACATTTTCTGGTCCACAAAGGGAGGGGAAGGAAGAGAAAACAAATGACTTCAGAGAGACGGTGGAAGCTTGCCATGAGCCAGAGGTGAACCTTAGTTGAGCTGGATTGTTATTAAATTCATCACAACTGTCATTTGCACTTCAAGGGACTCTGGTTCCAAAGCTTTACCCAAAATTTAGTGAGAGCCCTAGCAGGGGGAAGGGAGTTGGAAAATGTGGCCAGAAGGGGTAAGCTGTAGAGAAGGGGAGATACTGGGAGCTGGTCAAAGGCAGCCTATTGCTAGGACAACCCAGGGGAAAAGGCCCTGCAGGAGCTTCAGTGCCAGGCCTGGCTTCTATGGGCATTTGCTATTGTTCAGTGCAGCTCTGAACAATGACAGCAAAGTTAACCAAGACAGGCCCAGAAAATACAAGAAAAGTAGATGATCTGGACAGAAGAGAAAATACAAGGACAAAGAAAGCAGAGAAGGAAGAGTCTGTTTGGGGGCTGGTATTCTCTTCTACCTTGCCACCTCAGGTTAATCCTGACCACCCCCACAACCCGCCTCAGCAGACCCCAGCTCTCCTTCACACAGCTTGTGTCAAAGGTACTTAAATCCCTCACGCTCAGTCTCTCTTCCTTTTCAGAATGAGTATGATTACAGTTGCTGCTTTACAGATCTGCTGGAATGGTCAGGTAAGAACACATACAAGGAGGCTGAGGAGATGGCTCAACAGCTGAGAGCACTGGCTGCTCTTCCAGAGGACCTGGGTTCAATTCCCAGCACCCACATGCAGCTCACGGCTGTCTGTGGCTCCAAGATCCGACATCCTCACACAGATTTACATGCAGACTAAACATCAATGCACATAAAATAAATAAATACATTTTTAAAAAATACATATAAAACATTTAATTCAATGCTTGGTACGTGAAAGCTTATTATTATTTTATTATCATCATTGCTATCACCACTGTGCCCCCAAAGGGAAACTGCCATGACTTTTAAACACAGATTAAAGGAACCAGGAATTAGAAAAGGAGAGCATAGTTCCATAAAACAGAAAACTCCAAGTCTGGCCCATCCCACAGTGGTCTTGGGGACAAGGGGGCTGTCTCAGGCCTCCTCCTGCCTGCTCCCATCAGCAGGTAGACACTTACCGAGTTCTGACAACTGAGGCAGAGAGTGAAACAGGAAGTCAACAGCAGCCCTAGTAGTATTCCTTGAGGAGCCATTCTAGCTGAAGGCAGGTACTGAAGAACTATAACCAGGACCTGAGGGTACAAGCACAGAGACAGAAGGTCAGTTCCTGGTTCCCCACCATCATGATCCATCACAGTGCCTACTCCACGAATGTCAGCCAGTTCCTGCACAGAAGTGTAATAGGCCTTCTACTACTGCTAGATAAATCTCTGCAGCTCTCTACGATATGCCCTGAGTAGAAATGTGTTTGCTTTAACAGCCCTGGTCCTTCCTTCCTCATTGACAGTATCTGGGCTTGTGGAAAGTGCTACTGGCTATGGTGGAAAAAAAAAAGAAATTAACCACCTGAGCTGTTTGTGAACAGAGATAGGACCAAGTCCATATCAATATCTATATGACATCTTTTAGCCATGCCCACTATCATAGCTGATTACAGAAAGCATCAGCAAACATCCTCTAACCTAGCAAGGCTCAACCTTTCCAAGCCAGAAAAATCTTCTACACTACTTTTTTAACAACCAAACACCAAACAAATAAATCATAGTGTAAGTATTAGCAGATGCTAACAATTTTAAAACTTAAGGGCAAAAATGCTATCCCATATTCATGGACTGGAGATAATATTATTGAAATGACAATCCTAACTAAAATGACATACAAAGTCAATGCAATTGCTATCAAAACCTCATGGAATTTTCTGTAATTCCTAGTACCCATGCCAGGTAGCTAATAATCACCTGTAACTCCAGCTCCACAGAATCTGATGCCCTGCCTTCTGTGCTCTGCAGCACTTACACTTGTGTGCAATACTCACACACTGACACTTTGGAGTTAAAAATAAATCGAAAACAAAAGAAACAAACAAAAACTCTACATTCAAGCCAGTAGAAGAATCAAGAATTTAATGCCATCCTGGACTACATTAAAAAAAAAAAAAGCTATAGATGATATCTTTTAAAAAGCTGCAAATAAAATTGTTATATAGCAATTTTGCTCCTATGAATACACCTAAAGACACTAAGAAGCAGGAATTCAAGCAGCTACTTGTACATCTGTATTCAGAGACACTATTTACAGTTCTCAACAAGTAGACCTAACTCAGGTGCCCACCAACACATAGTGAGCTGATGCAACTCACTCAGCACTTTATTCGGTAGTGGTATAACTCAATCAGTTACAGAAAAGGATTTCTGTATACAAGAAGAATGTGGTGTTTACATTTCTCTCTCCTACCCCTGCCACTCTTACTCTACTCTGATTTGCTGGTTTTGTGACATTACTGAAGCAAGATGGATGTACTCTCAGAAGTTATTGCCCTTTGACCAGCCCATGTCTTCCCAGGGGCAGACAGAAACCTTCCCTAAGGACATCTGCAGCCCTGAAAGTAAACAGCCCTGCTGGACCAGCACTGTGCTAAAAAAGCACAGCCAAACGAAAAAGCAACGGCTTAGGACTAAAAATAGCTGCTACATTCACCCAGCAGCAACAGCTTTTGCTTTCTGCCAGTCTCCCTCTCCATTTTTATTTTTATTTTTTTTTTTTTTATCACAAAATGGAACTGCTGAGTGCCACACAAGTTCCTCCCAGCATTCTGGCTTCCTGGGAGCACCAATCACCCTGAGAGATGGAGAATAAGTTCACAGCAACAGCACTGTTCTGAGCAGGTGCCTGTCCATGTCCAGGGTGATAGAAAGGGGCCAGGCTGGCTGATGTCATGAACAGGAAAGGGGCTGTCACATTAAGAGAAACTAGAGAGACCCAGGGAGATGGGTCTCAAGAGGACACAGCTCTACAACTCCCAAATGGGAGGCAGGATAATGTGAGGAACCTAACATTATCAAAATTTAAAACAAAAGAAAATAATCAGGCACAGTGGCTCACATCTGCAATCCAAGCCTTTAGAAGGCTCAGTCAAGGAAATCACTGCAAGCTCCAGGCCGGGCTGCTGGCCCACAAACCGAGATGCTATCTTAAGAGAAGAGAACGGAGAGGAGGAAAGAAGAGACAGCACACTAAGCCACCCCTTCCTTGTGTGGCAGTACTTATGCACACATGCCCATGCAGTCACAAGCTCACTTCCTGCAGCCAGGGGCAAACAAGGAACTGGCAATGGGAAAGACAAATGACAAGGAAGAAGTCAAGGGTAAAATGACAAATGAACAAGAGGCCCAGAAGAGACTGAGGAACAGTAGGTCAGGGACAGCTGATGCACACACAGCAGCTTCCTTGGCTCCTAGAGCAGGAAGGGGAATAGAGGGCAGAGAAACGGCAGCTCCCACAGGGCTCCCGTATCACCTCCATCCTCTACACACTCATGCCAGCAGGAACATTTTCTGCCAATACAAAGGGTTACAGATCAATTGAAAATGGATCCTTCATCTCCCCTCAAGGACCACAAAGACCACACACTGACCTATTTATTGCTTCCATTTGTTTTTCCGCAAAAGAGAGTAGCATGGAGTTAGGAGTGGGCCGCTGGGAAGACTGAGGAGAGATCTAGGTGAAATGAGGTTAGGTCAAAGGAGTAAGTTTTCCAGGCTTTGCAGGGATATCCAGAAAACAAGCACAAACTCTGCAGCATGTAGCAGGCAAATGTCTGTCTTTTAAGGCCTGGCCTACAGCCAGGACACTTGGTTTTGGTAGAGAGAATGCAGGCAAAGCTTGCCCTGAGCTATGACTGAAGCCAACAGAGAGGGAGAAAGCAAAGCGGAAGCAGTGCATAGCTGCATTTTGACAGGACAATCCTCAAGCCACAAGCAGGGACTCAGGCAGCTGAGACCACAAAATAAAACTAGAACATGAAGCTAAAGTCATGGCATCCCACTAGGCCTAAGCAGAGTGCTCTCCCAGAGCACCTGCCACCCACAAGCCCCAGGTTCACCCTGCATGGCCAGCCAAACAACCCATCCCATCAGGCTTGGCCTTCACAGGCCTTCATCAGCAATCTTTATTTTTATGGCCTTCATCCAACTTGAAGCACCACTCAGTCCGGAAAAGGGGAAACTATTTCAGTGACTCTTTCTTCAGTACACTTGGGCTCTGAGACAGGGAAATAATTAGGTACCTGAGATGGCAGTTCTCCTATCAAATCTGGCCATTTGTAGGCGGTGCCTCTACTTGAGCAGAGGCCAGGTGCTCTCCACAATCTGTATGGTCAGTTTATTGTCGCCCAGAACAGGTACTCGGGGTATGGCTGAGGAGATGCCACCTCCCTGGTACTTCATGCTGCTTTGTCCTCTACTCCATTCAGACAGATGGGGAGAGGTCTGGGACCAGTGTAAACAAGACAACCTATAGTAACTTTAAGCTTTTCTAAGAAAAGAAAACAAAAGAATGGAAAGAAGACACCCAGAAACCAGTGAAGGGAGGGACAGGTGACTTCTGGATCCCAGGCAGGCTCTGACACAGCTGGCTGACCCAAACAGAGAGTAGCTGACCCCAATCATGGGAACAGAGCCCGGTGAACAAGAGAACCTGAAATGTAAGTGTCGAGTATAAGGCAAGCCGTACCAGTAGCCCCTTAGTGTCCCTGGAGCTTGGCCCTGCCCATAGCATACACAAACATAATTGTTTTCCTCCCTCCTCTAGAAGTGAAAGGGCAAGAATTTCACATTTCATTTATAAGAAGGAAACTAGAGTAAAGAGACAAAAAAGACTGGGGAGAAGGCACAGCACAGTGACTTAAAGTCAGATAGCATTAAAAAGATCAATGCTGACTGCTGGGGGTTGGTCTGATGCTTCTATTTCGATGCCACTTACTGGCCCTCAAGATCTGGTTACTGCCTGGTCACACCTATCCTTGTTGTATAAACCTGCCTAAGACCTTATACCTGACTGGTTCATTAAAAGGCCTAAAACCTGGGCAGGGCAGAATGGGGTAGGTTTGGCTAGGTTCTGGCTTTGGGAAACAGGAGAATCACAGGAAACAGACAGAAGGACAGGAAGAGAGGAGGAAGTAGGATGCCACAATGGGTTAGCATGGAGAAGGAATCATGTGGGCCTGGAAGAAAGAACTCCAATAATGGCGTGGAAAGGCCCAGATAAGAATACAAGCATAAGACTATGATGGAAGGTGGCCAATAAGAATTGTTAAGTCAGATGGCATTGGATGGGGCTAGGAGGTGGATGGTGAGGTTACTGAGACAGCATAGGTAACATATCTGCCCAGCCCAAGGCAAATAAGTCAATTATGACATTTAACAGTTGTTTGTGTCTTATTAGTTTTGAGAGTAGATTAAATAAAACCACTTGAATAATTATAGGCAAATAATAAGCAACATTTAGCTCCACATCATTTGATTAACTTAACAACTGACAGATTCCTAGCTACGGGATCTCAAACACAATCTTGGAAAGCTAGCAGAATGGCTCAGTGGGTAAAGGCACTTGCCAACAAGCCTGATGATCAGAGTTCAATCCCAAGGACCCACGTGGCAGAAGGAAAGGATTCCCACAATTTGTCCTCTCATCTCCACCTACATGCTGTGCCATACATGCATCAACAAACATACAAAATAAATAAATGTAATAAAAATTAAAAATTGCTAAGCTTTACTTTTTATCTATAAAATGGGCACAATAAGAGTTTTAATTTCAAAGAATGGACAGAAGAATTAAATGAGTAATGAATAAGAAGTGTTTAGATACTTAATTCCTCAGTCACTGGAACAGGATGTCAGGGAGGCCCGAGAGGTACCCAAAACAATATAGGCTAATGCTATTGCTCCTGATTACACACCAAAATGAGATGGTAAGACTCTCATGTGGTCCCTGACACCACAGCCAACCATGAACCCAGGAAGCACATTTTAGAGCCCACACCCCTTCCAAGCTCCACACAGTCTCCAGCTAACCCACCGCTTTTGTTGCATATCTGCTCCTAGGAGGGGAAGACAATACATGTTAATGAAAACCCCCACACCTGTATATGGCCCGCTCTAAGCTTTCTCGGCATACTAGCATCTCAAGAGTCAGGCCCAAGCACACAGAACTGCCAGCTGCAGGAACAGCTGTGAAACCATGCCGTGCTTTTCAAACTGAAGGTTAGAGTATGAGCTCTTCCCACAGACAC